TTAACTTAGAGTTTAGTTCTATTATAAAGGCATAGATGTAATTTACGTTAGTTTAGTAGACTTTATAAATTCCTAGGCCTAACTATAGAAAAAGGGCCTTAAGAACGCGTTAGACGCGCTAGAAGAAGATTAGATAGATACTAAGCTATAAACTTTTCTGCCTACTATATTATCTAAGACGTTGTTCTTACAGAAGTTAAGGCTATATTCTAACTTAATTAGAAAGCCCTTCTTTTGCATCTCTTTAACTTGCTCTTCTATAGCAGGATTGTTAACATAGATAACTGCATCCTCTAAAAACAGCTTCTGTATACCCTCTACTAATAACAAGGTTATTAAAGCTATAGATAAAGAGATCTGTGTTGTAAATTACAGCAGAAACTTAGAAGTTAGACAAACTTATAAAAAGCAGTAAGCATTTTTAGGTAACAGTGGGGCTCTCTCTTATGCTAATTAGCACAGTTGCGTATAAATAACAGAAATTAACATAAAAAGAACAGCTAGGCCTAGTTAAAAAGATTCTGTTAGCCTTCTAAGATTATTTCTGCCTATGTTGCGCAACTTAAAGTTAATAAAGGGCAGTAAGCTACTATATAAAAGCCTAAGATTTACTGTTAATAAAAAGGACTACTAAGAACAAAAAATTAGGCTAGGCCTACAGTCTGCAGCAGGGTTGCCACTTTTATAGTAATTACTATTCTAAAATAGTAATTACTATTTTTTTAAAAAGTCTATAACAGCTTCATTACATTAGCTAATATTCTAAAAACCTAAACTTAGATACTAGGTATACTAAAGTATAGATCTATAAGATTAGATTCTACTATATAAATTTGTATCCCTAGTAATAGAGAAAAACAGAGAAAAAAAGCAGAAATAGTAATAGTAATAGTAATTACTATTTTTCTCTCCTTTTTTTCTCTCTTTTTTATTTATTATAAATGTATTAAATATAATTTTTAGAATTTAAATTTATAGATTTATAGACTAGTTTACTTAGCATCTATATATTAATTTTTAGAATTATAGCTTATGTAATTAAGTAATAATAATGTTTTTAAAAACATAGTAATTACTATTTTAAAAATAGTAATTACTATAAAGTGGCAACCCTGGTCTGCAGCCTTTAGATAAATGTTGTTCTGCAATATAAAAAATTAGCTAAAAATCTACTCTATATAACCTAACTATTACACTCTAATTGCCCTTAAGCCTAACTGCTACCTAAAATTAGTAGGCTAAGACCTTACACTAGCAATTGCGTTGTCACATCTTCTGCGCTAACTCTACCCCTTAGGCCTGCTGTCCTGCCCACTCCTAGCTAAACCTCCCTCTTAAAATACGTCACCTTGCAAAGTTACATATCCTCTGTTGCTTCACAGCCTTATTAACTCTAACAAGAACATTAAGACTAATCTAAAACTACAGTGTTATATTTTTAAAGTAAGTTAGAAATGCAGCTTAGAGAAAAAGGCAATAAATTATTAACCTACAAGAATAAGCTCTGTCTTAAGTAAGAAGGTAAGATAAATAGAGCATCTTATAACTAGCTATTTACTATTAATCTAGCTAAAGGTACCTTAGTAATAAAAAAGTTAGACTGTTATTAATTTTTTTTTTAGAGCATGCTTATCTCTAACAACCTTGCATAAACTCTGTTAAGAACCCGCAGGCACCTAAACCCCCTAGAGGTAGTGTCCTATTATAGAGGCGGAATTCATCTTAACTTGCCTGCTCCTCTGTTACGTGTGCTATGCTGTAAGGAGCGCCTAGAGTTTTTACCTTATTGCATGTAAAGTGTTCCTTAAGGGGAACTATAAGTTATTAGCATATAGGGAACAGAAAGTTATGTTCTAGGCATACTAGAACAAGAACGCATGTTTAGGACTTGCTAAAAAGTTTTCTTAAAAGACTGCAGTAACCCCTCTCTGCTTATGCCCTAGTTTTTAAAGTGTTCTTAACCTCTTAGAAGACAGGTTTTCCTCCAACAATTCTGCGCGCCCGTTTAGCAAGTCTCTCCTCTCTCCCCCGGCACTAAAACGATTGAAATTGAAGCGGACTAGCCCTTTATTCTCTTACGTCCTCCCCCTCATCGTTCCAGGGCCTACCTGCTCTCGAGCCTTCGCGATGGCAGTCGGCGGTTATATCGAGTCTGTTAACTAGGCGAACTGCCCAAAATGTGGATACAACAATATAACGGGCAAGGAAACATGCGAAGGAACTTTGGCCGATGGAAGCACATGTGGTGCTGCACTTCCTATTGCTCCAGCTTGATAAGGTAATCGGCCTCTATAGGCAGCCTTTGGAAGTCACAGTAATAAATCCTAGTAGCATCAACATAGAGAAATGGTAGCAACTATAATGGCATGAACTAGTAAAGGGGTTGTAGTTGTTAAAGTTTAGCAGTTCTTCTAGGATGTAGGCAGACACACTCCTTATTATGCATAATTTAAATCAGCAATTGTATAATCCTATCTTAATCCTTACTGCTAGGGCGCGCTATAGCCTCGCCACTGCATCCAAGCATCTGTGTGATCCTTAAACCTATAAGCTCTAAGTGCCTTCTAAACTTCTGCTCTCTACTAGGTTAGATAATTACTTGCTAAAGTAGACAAGTTTATCTTACTAGAAAGTTAAAGCTTAGTTCTAATCTAGCCTTAAAAATAACCTATAATTTTAAAGTTAATAATCCTAATCTCTCCTGTAGTTAGCTTATCCTCCACAATAATATTTCTAGGTCTAAGATTAGCATAATAAAAGACAGGTTTAGAGCAATCTATCCTTATTACCTTACATCCTGCTTAAACTAAATTAAAGTTGTTGCTACCTCTAGGCGTAATAAGGAAGTATTTAGATATGTTTTAATTGTCTACACTACTAATCCTATCCCCTTTCCACTCTGCTATTTCCTTGCAGACCTCTACCACAACATTAACATAGTAGAGTCGCCACTGTGTATCCAGGGTTGGCCATGCAACGTCCAGAGTCCAACCCTAGAGCCTGCAGAGGAACAGGTAGGATTAGTTATTACTAAACACATAATGTATAACTTTAGGTGTTATAAAGCTAGGTTGTTAATTTTAAACAAACTTTAAAGTAATTAATTTAAGTGTAACACCCTTCTTAATGTACTAAACTTTATAAAAAGCATAGTCTCTAATAAACTAAACAGTAGAAGCATTACTAGCTTTATAAACCAGCGTAATGTATAGGCTATTAGGCAATGTTGTAGGTAGAAGCGGGATTAGTGCTTCTATTAATATGTAGCTTAAATAGTTGCTGTAGTTATTCTAAGTTGCCCTATTAAATAGACAGGGTAAACAACAAAAAATAAAGCTGCTAATAAGCTAGGTATCTAAGTTAATTTATCTAAAAGACTTATTAATATAATCTTTGCCCTATTTCTGCACAACAGTAGTAGAAGGATACTAGCTAAGAAGTAGTGCACTATAGATGTATTATTAATGCCCTAGAGAACAAATTTTAGCAGTTATTTAAAACTATAACCTATTATCTTACTATAATAGGACCTGTAAGGTATATTAGAGCTTTAAGAGTAATAACACACAGTAAGAGAGATGCAGGCTCTATAATCTAAATTACTAAGTAGATTATTATGTAAGCATTTGTTCACATAATCTTTAGGTCTCTCTAGCGCTAAGGCTAGGGCCTATTTCTAGGCATGCATTAGCATATAGCTCCTGCCTGTTTACATTATTAATTAACAACACAATTTTATTACTTATTTAAATAATAATAGTGTTAGCAACTATTTTTAGGTCCTTAATTATAAATAGTTCCTAAATTAGTCCTCTACTCCTAGAGTAGCAGGTCTAGTTCCCTTTTTTAGGCCCCTACTTTCCTAATTCCTGTTTGCGTACCCCTGCTAACAAAAACTTCTAATGTCTAACACCAGAACTGTTGTTCGCCGCAGTCGTCGCTAGTGCTAAGGTCAGGGTCGTGAATGTCACCGTGCCGTGAATAACCCAGCTGTTAGTCTGCTTAATATAGCCTAGTGTGTCTTAAAGGTAGGTGCTAAGGCGTGTAGCATGCTTGCAGATTAGGGTTGGCCAAGTTAACCCCTAAAGCTATTGCGCTGCTATAGCTCCTTAGTGCTAGTTGTTTAACTAGTGTCTTAGTAAGAGTTTACATAGCTATAATTAAAGATTAGTAAATTATTTTTACTAATAACTCTAAAAAATTTCTAGCTTAGTATTATCTACGCAGCGCAGTTAGCTTATCACATTCTTGCTGTTAGCTAGGATTAGGTAGTAAACTATACTAGTAGCCTTTAGGCTTAGTGCTAGGTAAAATAAAACTCTTTTTCTCTTATTCTAGCTATCTTTTACTTTTAATTGCTTATACTCTAATTTGTACCTTCTTTTAACTGCCCTTAACACCCCCTCTTTACAGGTCTGCCTTACTCTTTATTTTACTGTAGTTTATATTATTATTTCTATTAACTACTTTAAGCGTTTGCTGCGCTCTTGCGCTATAGCTAATAAGTTGTAATTAAAGGTAATTAAGGTAAACCTTATTAGTAAAGCACTTAATACCTTTTACATCTCTTTTAAAAAAAAATGCAGAGGCCTAGCTATTACAGGCGCTAATGCATTATACTATATTAGTAGGGAAGGTATAGCTTAATACTAAACTTACAAGATTTTCTAACATTAATAGGACTAAAAAATTCCCTTCTTAACTTAATACACACTTTGCAGGGTCTCTCTACTACACATTTACTGCCCTTAAATTAGGGTAATAGAGATCTCTTTAGTAACTTATTAGCACTAAGTTTAGCAGTCTACTCTAATAACTTTAATACTAAGCATATTCTACTGCTTCTTAGAGCAGTTCTTAACAACAAGCCTAATAAAGTTATATAAGACAATGTTTACGCTGCTGTTACTATGTTAACAGCTTTTATAATTACTAAACCTACAACTCCTCTGCTGTCTGCCCTATCCCTTACTGCCTTCTTCTAGCAGACGCTATAGCAGCATAACACAGGCAGCTTTGCAAACTCTACTAAACACTACAAATATGTAAATAGCGTGCTAAAGAAGGAACTAGGACAGCTATACATTAGGGTCCCTAGTTTCTTTAATGCCTACTTTAAAAGCGTCCTAGATCTAGAGTTAGTAGCGCAGGCTGTGTTTAATAAGTGCAAAGAAAGGGATAATCTGCTCTACAAAAAGGAGAGTAGCTAGCAGGGCTAGCCTAAAGGCGTAAAGGAATGTGACGTCTTAAGCTAGTTTATGCCTCTTACTAACTAGCTCTTAGACTTTATAGAAGAGAATTAGCCTACCTCTAGGCTTTAACAGCAGCTGCTAGCACAACCCTACTAGCCTGTACAAAGCTCTACTGCTAACTACAAGTTAGATGTTAGCTTTATAGACAACCTAAGTGCTAGCGTTAACTCTAAGTGCTATTAGTTGCAGATTCTTATACTAGGAGAACTTAAAAGCAATCTATTAGCAGACAAAGCGTCTAAAGCGTAGCTTAACCTAGGGCAATATGCAAGGGAGGTGTTCGCAGCCTAGGACAACTGCTGCTTTGTGCTTAGCTTTACCTTATGCAAGTTGCTTATGCAGCTGTGGGAATTTAACTAACTAGGCAGCATTATGTCTAAATAATTTAACATTAATAAAGATAGACTGCAGTTTATATCTACTATGCTTAAATTTCTATAGCTAAACAAGGAGCAGCTTAGATTTAACCCCATAATTATCACAGCTAGGGGCAAGCAGTATGTTAAGATTAAATAAGACAACTACACTAAGCAACTTGTTATTAACAAGGTTGTAAAACAGGTACCCTATGTTACTAGTTAAGCAACAACCTGCTAAAAAGCACATTATAAAGAAGATAATTTATAAACATCTCTTATAATTAAAGACTTATAGCAGTTTCTAAAACGCGCAGAGGAGAGCAAATTGCTGCGTAAGGCAACTAAAAAGGACGTTGTTAATGTTGTAAGATACTATTAACACAAAACAGTCTATATAGGCGGCCTAGACAATAATATCTGCAGAAACATACAACATAGCCTAGACATAACAAAAGTAACAAACTACAGGCTAAAAAGCTTAATGCTGCCTCTAAGCATAGCTAGACATTGCGTCTCGCAGATAGGCTAGAGCAGCAGCGTTACTAGGCGCAAGTGGTCCTTAAGCTACACAGGCGCCCTATTACTGCCTACTAAGCAAACCTGTTTAACCTCCCTAACAAAAGGCAACAGGGCTGCAACAACAAATTAAGTGCATTACTGCGTTATTATCTAAGACTATAAGAAAGCTATATACAAAGCAAGCTCCTAAACTAGCCTTCTTGCTGTGTTAAAAGGCTGCATTAAAGGATATAAGTTGTTACACACATAAGCTAGTATACTACAACATAATATCTTACTAAACAACCTTATAATAAACAAAGAGGATAATAACCCCTTCTAGCGCGCATTCTTAATTAACTTTAACCTTGCTATTAAGGAGCAGCAGGAGAAGTCTTTAAGAGTGTAAAAGAAAACTAGCACACAAGCATTTATAGTAATTAGTGCGCTTTTAGACAATAAAGAGCTACATTTATTTATGCATAATCTAAAGTTGTTCTTCTAGGTGTTATTCTAGATATGTATTTACTATAACAGATTATAAGAGAGGGTAGTACTACAGTTTAACAAATAGAATTTTACAGATACAAAGAAGCTAGCTATAATAAAATTAAGCATTATATCTAATAATGCAATCTTTTATAAAACTGCCTAGGAATACTTTATAGAATATTACTAGCTATTAATCCCTTATGTTAATAGCTTACAAAGAAAGGTATTCCTTAATAGTAAAAAGTAAAGGGATTTAGATCTAAAGTTATACTTTAAGATAAAAAAGATACTTTAGACAGCATAGAATAGCCTAAAGGCATTAAAAGGATAATAAGATCTCCTGTTTTACAATAGCTAAAAAATTAGTAGACAAAGATAAGCACCTAGTAATTGCTATTAACTAACTTCTAAATTATACACCTTAAATACCCCTAGCATTAAGCATCTACTTCTAAACATAAACTTACTAGCTTATGTTTAAGCTGTAAGATATAGCTAAAGGGAATAATAAGCTTAAAAAGAATGTACTTTATTATACTACATAGCCCTATTGTTCCTAAGACTCCTACCCTAGTGCATTGCCCTAAACCCCTTAGATATAACTCTATAGTAGAAAAAGCTAATTAGTAATTATTGTTATTAAGCGCTAATAACGTTGTTCTAGTTAATTTTGTCCTTTCCCCCTAAAGCTTTTCCATCCACACTGCTACATTAGCATAGCATGCATAGAGTAAATGCTTGTTTGCTAGCAAAAAAGATAGAACCTTAGCTAATATGCATCCCTGCGTAGCAGAACGCACGTTGTAACAGAACGCTAGACTAAAGGACAACTAGCACTTATACAAGCATGTAACATTTAACTCTACTAGAACCTAAGTGTCTAGGACCTTCTGTTCTTTAAAAGAAGTAATAGGAAGATAGAGGCTACAAGCGCATTTAGCTAATATCTTTTAAAATAAGGCTTTTATGCTAGCTAATATTACAACAAACCCCTAATAGTGTATAATTTTATTAGATATTACAGCTGCACTATTAACTAAAGTAGTATTACTAGACTTACCCTTAAAAGACATAGAGTTATTTTATAATACTGTTATATTATCTTAAAAACACCTTTGCTACTAAGAGTAGTTAGTAACTCTTTTAATTACAACTTTAGTTGCAGAGGTTATTAAATGCGTATTTATGCAGCTTGTATAAATAGTATTTGTGCTAGTGTAAGGCACCTCTATTCCTATAGACTTGCACATAATAACCTTAATCCTATAAATATTACCCTTAATAGTAATAACAACCTTAGGGGAGGCGTCCTAGTTAGATTTCTCTTTTAGTTTTAGATTAATGTATGCTAAGGTAAATAGTTATATATAATACTAGATTAAGTTCTATAACTAGAAAGCTTTACCTATATAAGATGTAATAAGACTTCTACAGTTCTAAGACCTTTAACAGCAAGCAAGCTAAGAATTAGCAGAACATTATATAAAAAAGCATTAGTATTAGAGTTAACACTTATAGATTTAACTTAGTTTTCTTTACTAAATTAGTGTAAAAGTTCCTTCTAAAGAAGATGTATCTGTTTATCTTTTAGTGCCACCTTATTAAGCTAAAAGCTTAACTTCTGTAGTTAGTTGTTAATGCACGCCTTTATTAATTTAATAACTAACCTACATATTAATGTAATGTAGCTGTGTTTTTAATAACAAGAGCACTCTTCTAAGCATTTATAAAAAGCTAAAGTTATATTATTATATGCTATAGCCTAACTATGTGTGTTAGCTAACAAGTAATTATAATTCTAAGCTACCTTTAGACAACAAGTTTTAGTTGCATGCAGCATTTCCTACGTAATGTTATGCAATTAGATCTCTGTCTAAAGAGGCTAGGCAATTACAGAGAATTAGTCTAAGCTAGAAGGTAATAGCCACATAGTACTGCTGCTCTAGGCGATCTGCGATAGCTATCTAATAGGAATAGGGAGCGTTAGATCGCTTTTAGCTACAGGCTGCGCTAATATTAGTTCAGGCGCTAAGGATAACATAGACAGGAAAGATACTAGAGCTAGAGTTATACAAGGCTTAGGCTCTAAAGGAGCACAGGCCTTAGGTACTATTTTAGATATTAAAGGCAACAGCTTTAGAATGCTCTTACAGGCGTACAATAGTGCTGCAGGCGTTAGAAGCGTCTTAGAAATCTACTCTTTAGCTTAAAGTTTTAAGCTTAATAGTAGTAATTAATAATAAGCTATTATCTAAAGTAATAGAGTTAATAATAGTAAGAGAAATACATACTATAGCTAAATTAGAAAAGGTTGCTTTTTATGTACAGTATGTGCCCTCTAAAAATGCAATATTAGAACCACGTTATAAATAGCACTAGTAATAATATAACCCCCTTTATAAAAATATCCTTAAACAGCTTTTTAAAAGGTCCTTAAATAGGACCTTCTAATAATAGACAGCTTAGTTATATACCTTTCTAATAATAAATAGCTTAGTTGTATAGAGGTTAATCTTTAAGGCTATAATATAAAGAAACTGCATTAATAAATAGTAAGTGCTAGAAGCAGCTCTATATACTACATGTAACTTTAATATAATAAAACTAGTAAGACAGTTTTATTATTCCTTTAGTAACTATAACTTTTTTTACTAAAAATTTACTTAAACCTATACTAGGATTTTTCTACTTAGAAAAACGTCCTAGTTAGATATCTCTTCCTAGAAAGGCGTCCTAGCTAGATTTGTCTCTCTAGTAAGGCGTCCCCGCATTTTTCTCCTAGGAGAAACGTCCTAGTTAGATTTCTCTTCCTAGAGAGGCGTCCTAGTTAGATTAATTACCCTAAAGAGGCGTCCCTAGATTTGTCCACCTAGGAGAACTATTCTAGTTAGGTTTCTCTTCCTAGAGAGGCATCCTAGTTAGATTTGTCTTCTTAGCAAGGCGTCTCTGCATTTTTCTTTTAGAAGAAACATTCTAGTTAAATTTCTCTTTTTAGAGAAGCTTCTTAGTTAGATCTGTCTCCCTAGAGAGGCATCCTAGTTAGATTTGTCTTCCTAGTAAGGCGTCCCTGCATTTTTCTTCTAGGAGAAACGTTCTAGTTAAATTTCTCTGTCTCCCTAGAAAGGTGTTCTTATAAGTTACTTAATTAATTAATTAATTAGTTTATAGGCTGTTCTAGCTACCCTAGTGGCGGCTATGCAGCGTACAACTAATACTATAAATATAGGTGTCCCTCTGCCCTCTACTAAGAAGACTAAGCTGCTCCCCTAGAGTTACTTCCCTTTACTTATGTTAGCTAAGTTTAATCTATACCTTTAGTAGTAGTCTTAATAAATGTTTTATGTCTCTAAACTTATTAAGCCTTTCTAGCCCTTCTTGCTATATATAAAGTGTTGTTTAAGCTATTCTCCCCTACTTAGCAATTATGTAGCATAGTAAGCACTGCTATGTTCTAAAGGTTAGATAGTGTTGTTTAGGGTGTAAGTTAGTTAGGTTATGCTAGATGTTTTAAAAGCAAAAGGAGTTTTAAGTAAATATAAATATGCTGTTAAGTAACTAAAGCTAGCTATTCTTACTTTAGTAGCCTTTAATAGTAAAGCTATGCTATAA